TGCCGGTTCTAATCCTGGCAGCTCCACTTCCCATCCAGCTCCCTGCTTGTGGCCTGGGAAGGCAGTCAAGGACAGCCCAATGCTTTGGGACCCTGCACCTGTGTGGGAGACCTGGAGGAAGTTCTTGAATCCTGGCTTCGGATTGGCGCAGCACTGGCCTTTGTGCTCACTTGGGGAGTGAATCATCAGATGGAGGATCTTCCTCTCTGTCTTTCTTCCTCTCTGTATATCTGGTTTTGCAATAAAATAAATATAAATCTTTTTAAAGATTTACAAAGTCAGATGTACAAAGAGGAGGAGATACAGAGGAAGATCTTCTGACTGATGATCACATTCCAAGTGATTGCAACGGCTGGTGCTGTGTGTATCTGAAGCCAGGAGCCAGGATCCTCTTTCAGGTCTCCCACTCGAGTGCAGGGTCTCAAGGCCCTGGACTGTCCTAATTGCCTTCCCAGGCCACGAGTCAGCACCCATATGGGATGCCAGACTTTGGGCAGTGGCTTTACCGCTGTGGCTTAATACCAGCTCCTTTATTTAATTTTTTGAAAGGCATAGTGTCGGAGGGGGGAGAGACAGAAATCTGTCTGCAGGTTCACTCTCCAAGTGATCACTCCAGCCATGGTTGAGCCAGGAATGCCATCAGGACCTTCTGCACAGGTGCCGGGATCGCAGGCAGTTGGGCCAGCATCTGCTTCCATGGGGAGCACATTTCCAGGGAGCTGCATAAGTGAAGAAACATCCCCCATGGGCTCCCCTCCCCCCACGTCCCACAATGCCAGCTTCTGCAGATGATCTTCCACTGTAGAGGTTGAAGGCTGGGGTGCTGACTGTGCCTGCCACTGAGACCCACTGCTTGGGTGGGTGAGTACTGAGTGGGGGAATGCCCCCAGTGGCCCTCAGACCCCCTTCCCTTCTGCCATCCAGGGGACCTGTGCCCGGCTCAGAGCCGACTCCGGGGCCTCAAAGTCCTGGCAGTCTTTGCCAGTGAGCAGGATTTACACAGCACACAACCCAGCATCAGGTCAGGCCCTTGTCTCCTCGCTCCTGTGTTGGGCTGTGTGCAAAACGGGGTGCCACCTGAGTTCCCAGTGTGAGAATTTGTTCAGAGAGACAACCCCTGTCTGATGACCTTCTGGGTACAACTCCACAGCAGCTGGACTGGAGGTGCAGATGTCCCCCACAATACCCCTAATTCTCCCGTCCTGTCGGGGTCCCCTTGTTAGCTCCCTGCACCTTTCTGTCGCAGGCTTTCTAGCCTGCTGATACCTGGCGGGGCTGTGAGCTTCTGCAAGAACGGACACACAGGAGCTGGCTGCCCAGGACCACTGGCCAGGTGCCTCTCAAGGTGGGTGCAGGGGTGTGGCTATGTGGGAACTGGTGGCTATCACACCTCCACAGGGACACTCATCCCTGGGGCCTGAGTCCTCCAGTGACCTCCCTCCCCCACCCCCGCAGCCGCTGTGCCCCAAGAAAATACTTCAGAAAATTATCGCTGAGAGATGGGGTTCAGTGGGAAGGGGCAGGGGTAGGTAGGGGGGAGCAGCAGGCAGTGTCCGGGACGCCCTGCTGTGCTCAGAGCTCCCAAATCTCCAGGAGTCCCTTTCCCAGCCCTACACATGCAATAGAAGGTAAACCTTAGCGCACTAGTGGGATGCCGCTGGAGGCGGAGAGGGAGGGGAGGAAGCCGGAGGACCAGGCAGGTGGGGCGGGGCAGGGTGGGGAGAGGAGAGCCGTGGGCTCCCTGCAGCTAGTGTTAGGGGCTTTCCTGCCAGAGCCCCCTTGACCCCTCCCCGAGATCAGGGCAGGCCGGGGATCCCCTGTTATGACGGACGGTCACGGGACGCTGACTCACGCCCGCACGCCCGGGCCGCCTGACCCCAGCGCCTGCAGCCTGGCAGGGCCCCGCCAGGGGGTTCCCCGGCCCGCCAGCCACCGCCGCAGCCTGCTGGGCCCGACCACCGGCTGGACAGCCTCAGAGGCTGGGGTCTCCAGTTCCGGGGCGTCCTAGGGCTCCCTTTCCTGTTGTTGCCCAGCTTCTTCACTCTGTGCCCCAACGCGCAACCGGGGCCGAAAACAAGGAGCAAACAAACGTGTTGCTGGGGCGGTGGCCTGGTCAGCTGGTACAGCCTCGTGCCGGGTGGGGTGGGGGTCAGAGTTCTCCTGGGCCCTTCCTGAAAGCTTCTGTCTCCAGGGAGGAGCCCGCCGCCCACCACGGGGCTCTGTGGCTCTCTGGCCTGAAGGACTTGGACTAGATTGCTGAGTCATGCTTGGATGGCACCTGCCTGCAAACCGGAACCTCTGCGCAGCTGTCCCAGGGCAGAGGGTCCAACCGGTCAGGGACCCTTTCCATGCTCACAGCTGCACATCGGGAGTGTTCTGGGTGGGGACAGCCTCTCCAGGTAGAATGGATTCTTCCTGTGGCCTGATCCACCTGTGCACCTGCCTAGCCAGCATCCCAGCAGCCCCCCTCTCTTCTGTGGGTTTCCCCAGCCACAGGTTTTTCCAGTCCCACAGATCTCCCCTGGAAAGACAGGCGTTTGACCCAGCGGATCTGACCTGGAGTTCCCAGGACCCTCCCTGGGAGCTCTCACCCGGGGACCCTGCTCCCTCCCCGCCCAGGCCTTGTTCTGAAAAGCTGAAACCACTCCCCACCCCCACCCCAAACCACTCCTCCCTCCCAACCAGCAACCCTGTTTGGCTGCCTTTGTGGTCAACAATCTTGAGACCCTGCGGGCAGGAATCTGCTTGTTGAATCCTGGGCTGATAGGTTTGCTAGGCAGCCTATGTGTGCAAGAGGAAAAAATATGATTTTTCCGTGTGGTTGAATGAAGAAGGGAATGTAGAAGCAGCCCATGGAAGCAGGGAAACATTTACTATCAAAAGTCTTGGCTTGGGGCTGCTGAGCCTCAGCCTTCCTCCCTGGTTTATAGGAGTGCTGAGTCAGGCTGCTCCACTTCCCATCCAGCTCTCTGCAGTGGCGGATGGCTTCAGTCCGCCGGCCCCTGTACCCACATGGGAGACCTGGCAGAAGCTTCAGCCCAGTTCAAGCCGTTACTGTCATCTGGAGGAGTGAACCAGCAGATGGAAGATCTCTTTCTCTGTAGCTTTGCCTTTTAAATAGCAAATAAACAAAAAAACAAAAAACTAAATCTGGTTCTCCTTCTGTAGGCCTGTCTGGTGGGTTCCAACCCTCCCCAGGGGCAACCTAAGGAAACTTTGCACTAAAGGACCAGGAATTCTGCCCAGGACATTCTAGAAGGAATTTCAGCAATACCCCTGAAAGGGAATGGGGGAATAATGGAGGGTCCACACTACCTATGCCTGTAAAAGCCCTAGGCTGCACAGAGCCTGGGCGCTCTGTTCTGTCCCAGATGCCCACCTAGTCCGCCAGGTGCTAAGATGAGGCTTTCTGGGGACTGACGTCAGGGGGCCGAAGGCTTCCCTAGGTCTTCTGAGCTGCAGGAAGTAACTGCCGACTGATCCCCCCCCCCCACCCATTGCTGGCCTTCCAGCAGGATGGGCCAGGGTGGGGTGAGGGGCTTCCTAGCCTCTGCCCTCTGTTCTTGCCAGTATTTATTATTTTTTTTTACTGTTTTTTTTTTAAAAAATAAGCATTTATCTTTATTGGAAAGGCAGATTTACAGAATGACCAAAGCTAAATTGATCTGAAGCCAGGAGCCAGGAGTTTCTTCTGGGTCTCCAGTGTGGGTGCAGGGTCCCAAGACTTTGGGCCGTCTTTCACTGCATTCCGAGGCCTCAAGCAGGGAGTTGGATGGGAAGTGGAATAGCTGGGACATGAACCGGTACCATATGAGATCCCGGTGCATGAGCCCTTCAATTTTTTTTTTTTTTAGATTTATTTTATTTTTATCACAAAGTCAGATATACAGAGAGGAGGAGAGACAGAGGAAGATCTGTCCAGTGATTCACTCCCCAAGCGACTGCAATGGCCAGTGCTATGCCGATCCGAAGTCAGGAACCAGGAACTTTTTCCAGGTCTTCCACGTGGGTGCAGGGTCCCAAGACTTTGGGCTGTCCTCGCCTGCTTTCCCAGGCCACAAGCAGGGAGCTGGAGGAGAAGTGGAGCTGCCGGGAGTAGAACTGGCGCCCATATGGGATCCTGGGCGCTTTCAAGGTGAGGACTAGGCCATGGCACTGGGCCCAATTTAAAAAAAAATATTTTTGTTGGAAAAGCAGAGTTACAGAAAGAGATGGACAGAGATTTTCATCTGCTTGTTCATTCCCTAAGCATTCATAAAAGCTGGAGCTTAGCCAGACGAAGCCAGGAGCTAGGGGTTTCTTCTGGCTTTCCTATGTAGGTGCAGAGGCCCAGGACTTAGGCCAGGCTATGCTGCATTCCTAGGCCATAATCAGGGAGCTGGATCAAAAGTGGAGCAGCCTGGACTGGGATTCTGGCGCCACAGGCTGAGGTTTAACCTACCCCCACACCGCCAGCATTTCTCAAGCCAACTGCTGTAAAAGCGGGGGCTCAGGCCTGAATGTGCCATCAGTCCCTGGACAGCTAGGATCTCTGTGGTTGGGGGGCTGCCCTCTGCAGCCAGGGCATGGCAGAGGCAGCCAGCTCTTTCGGGTTGGTGGTGCCCCGGGCCTAAGGGTTTTCGGGGTGTCCCCCCAGCATGCACTTCAGGGCATCCCCTGATGACTGGAGAGCGACCTAAGCTGCTGAGTCACAGCCAGGCCCCAGCCCTAGAACGGCCTGTGGCAGGACCCCAACCCCAAGGCTTTGCGGAGGCCCAAGGCTTTCGCAGGCGCCCTGGGAGCAGCAGGGTTCCTTTGGGCCGCGTGCGTGTGCGGGGGTGGGCAGCGGGGGTGGGCAGCGGGAGCTTCCTGGCGAGGTGGGGGCAGCAGGCCCGGGGCCCCGGCAGGGAGACTCGCGAGGCCGCCCGGGCGGCGGGGGCGGGCGCTGGACGGTTCCGGCTCCGCCCCGGGGAGGGCGCAGGGCCCTATAAAGGCCAGGGGCCTCGGCCGCCGCTGTCGCCATCGTCGCGGCTTCCTGGCTTGACTTGTCGGTTCTGCTCTCTAGCTGCCATGGCGTCGTTCACCGTGAAGGCCTATCTTCTGGGAAAGGAGGAGGCGGCGCGCGAGATCCGCCGCTTCAGTTTCTGCTTGAGCCCGGAGCCCGAGGCGGAGGCCGAAGCGGCGGCTGGCCCCGGACCCTGCGAGCGGCTGCTGGCCCGGGTGGCCGCTCTGTTCCCGGTGCTGCGGCCCGGCGGCTTCCAGGCGCACTATCGCGGTGAGCGGGCCGGGGTCGGGTCCGGGCGGGGGTGCCTCGTCCTCCTCGGTGCAGGCTGCGCCGCAGCGCAGCGGGAGAGGGGCTGTCCTTGATCGCTGTGTGGGTGGGTGGCGGCCCCTGCGTGTCCCCCGTTTGGGTCTCGGATGCCATAGCCCCGGGACCAAGACCGGGCCCCCTCTGGGTCAGACGTCGCCCGCTCCCCGCCATGATGCGGTCCTTGGCAAGGACGTACCGGACTGGGAAGGTGGTCAGGCGGACACTCGGGTTACAGGGTGTCCCGGAAGAGGCCGGGCCTGGCAGAGGCAGGTAAACAGGCTGGGGCGAGCGGGGAACGCTTAGGCCGGGGGCGGCGGGGAGCGTGGGGACCAGCTCGGAGCCATCGCTGGTTTTCTTGCTGCGCTGCTGGGGCGGGGGTGGTGTCCCGGGACTGTGGTGTAGCAGGGAGGGAGGTCCTTGGCCGAGGCCCGCCTCTGGGAGGGAACTCGGTTGGACCGCCCGCCCGCCTTAGCCTGCCCAACATTGTTTTGTTTTGATTTCTCGGTAATAAATTTATGGAGCCGTAACACCCATGCCATAAAATGTATTCACTTAAAGCATATAATTCGGTGGCTTTAAAATGTTATTTCATTTTCAAAGGGCGCATCCGCGTGCGCGCGCACACACACACACACAGCCTGGTTCTCTCACCAGATGTCTGCCAGGCCAAGCTCCAGCCAAGCCAGGAGCCTGGAGCTCCAGCCTGGTCTCCCAGGAGGGTAGCAGCCACCCAAGTTTTCTCTCTCCCCAGTGCACGCTAGCTGGAGGCTTACATGGAATTCCAGTTTTCCAAGCTGGCAGTTAAATGCCTGCCCCAGTTCACTGGGTTTTTAAAGTATTCATGAGTTTGTGGGACTTGTGATCACAACCCAGGATAGCTTCTCTCATCCCCGGACCTTTTACCGTTCATCCTGTCATCTTCTCCCTCTGCCCTTGCAGCCACTGAGTTACTCTGTTCACTTCCAAAAAGAGCCCAGCACACTGTTGGGTGTAGGAGTCTTGCATGCAGATCAGATTTTTGTCTGAGTTTAGTGTAACATGTTCAGGCTCATCAGTGGTGTACCTGCTGCTTTGTGTGGATACAGCCCCTGTGTTTGTGTCATTGGTGATGGACTCCCCTTGTATTGTTCTGTGGGTGGGCATTGCCCCCTGGTGCCCTCAGAGGGTTTAGCCTGTAGCCTGTGCATGGTGTACTGAGCCTGTGGTGGGGTTTTAAAACTGCGAGCCAACATACAAAGCCTGGAGACTTGGTGTAGATCCGTTTGTCCCTTGGTTGGGGAGGAATTGTGTTCCTTCACTCCTGGACTGCAGGAAGCCCGAGGCCTTTGGAGGGCTGGACTCCTTGGGGCAAGACACTGCTATGCCTGTGATATGTGCACTGAGGCTTTGGGTGCAGCCCTGTCAGTGGGCAGCCTCCCTGCCCCAGCCCCTTCCCCTTTAGAAGTAGGCTGGTTGGGGGTCAGCAGGCCCAGTGGTTAATTGGCTAGGTTAGCATACCTGGACCCCCTATTCATTGGATTCTGCAGCCTGACTCTGGCTTCTTGCCGGTGTAGACACTGGGAGGGAAAGGTGAAGGCTCAAGAGATGGGGCCCCTGCCCCCATATAGGGGAGTTGGGGTGAGTTTCTGACTTGCCCGGCCCAGTCCTAGCTATGGAGAGTACCTGGGGAGTGGACCGCATGCTGAACTTGCTCGTTTCTCCAAAGTAAGTTAGTGGAGAAGTAGGTTCCTCTGCTGAGGTCGCTAGGCCCTGTCAGCACTGGCTTTGGCTGAGTGTGCTCCTGTGCCGTCTGAACCCCCTAGATGAGGATGGAGACCTGGTTGCCTTCTCCAGTGATGAGGAACTGATGATGGCCACGGGCTACGTGAAGGATGACATCTTCCGTATCTACATTAAAGGTAAGGGAAGCCAGGGCCCCCAGTTTGGGGAATCAGGGCATGATTGTTCTATGCAGCTAGTGTGAGACCCTGGGGCTGAGGCAGGGATAGCATAAATGCTGCCAGTCTGGGAAAGAAGGGTCTGTGCTTCCCCTGAGCTGTGGGCTCAGGGCAGCCTTTCATAGTGTTGATAAAGGAGCAAGGCCAAAATGGCTTTGCTGTGGATTGCTCACTCAGGCTGGCTGACAGAGGTGGAAGCGGGCCAGTGGCTCCACAGCCCCTCACCTTGACTCTCCCCACCTCCCTGCAGAGAAGAAGGAGTGCCGGCGGGAGCACCGCCCCCACTGTGCACAGGAGATGTCGCGCAACATGGTGCATCCCAATGTGATCTGTGACGGCTGCAATGGGCCGGTGGTGGGAACCCGCTACAAGTGCAGTGTCTGCGCAGACTACGACCTGTGCGGGGCCTGTGAGGGGAAGGGCCTGCACCAGGAACACAGCAAGCTGGCCTTTCCCAGCCCCTTAGGGCACTTTGAGGTGAGCAGCCCTCTTTGCAGGCCTGTGGCGAGGGTGGGACTGGGCTGACTGGAGCCCCTCACTGCTGGGACCCTCTGCTTACTCCTCCACCAGGGCTTTGCTCACAACCGCTGGCTCCGGAAGCTGAAACATGGACACTTTGGCTGGCCAGGCTGGGAGATGGGGCCTCCAGGGAACTGGAGCCCACGTCCTCCTCGAGCCGGGGATGCTCGCCCCAGCTGCTCTGCGGAATCAGGTGAGGCTTTTGCCCCAACTGGCTTCTGAAAGGCATGAGTAGTCAGGCAGCCTGTGTGCAGGGCTGTGTGCCAAGTTGGTTGGCATCCTGAGGGTTTGCTGTGCCCACCTCCTAGACCTCTGCAGCATCCAGTAGGCGTGAGACCCCTGCAGTGTCCTGAGTTTCAAGTCCTATGACCAGCTGTGGGGTCACCCACTCGTGCCTCACATGTTGTGTGTCTCTAGGCTGTCCAGTGTCCAGGGACGGGCAGAGAGGTCCTCCCAGCCCCTGCCTCTCTCTCTTTTTTAAACAAGAATTTGAAAGGGTTACAGAGAAGGAGAGAACAGAGGGAAAGATCTGCTGGCTCACGCCCAAGGTGGTTACACAGGCCAGGCCAAAGCCAGGAACTTTATCTGTGTCTCCCAAACAGATGGCATGGCCCTAACAGTTGGGTCATCTTCTGTCACTTTTCCCAGGCCATTTGCTGGCAATTGGATTGGGAGTGGAGCAGCTAGTGCATGAACTGTCAGGTTGTCCACTATGCCACATCACCGCTCCCCCTGGGCCTCTGGTGTTAACTTGCTGAAAGATTACAGCCACAGTTGCTCAAATCTTTAAACAAGTTACAAGGTTAATCACCAACATAGGGCTTTGCACTCCAGCCTTTGGGATTGTGGGTTTATCCTGATTTCATTGTACTGTGACCATTGAACGGAGGTGTGTTGGAACAGAGGTGGGCTGTGTGTTTGTGTAAATGGCACTGTATGGTGAATCACTGTTTATGTGCTACCTGTGCTGAGCCTGCAGGGTTAACAAGCACCAGCGACTCGGGCTGTGGGTGCAAGAGAGCAAGTACCGAGTGTGGGCTGCTGGGATAGCACCTTGGATGGCTACTCTGGGCATTAGATTAAGGATTATCTATTTTCATTTGTAAAAATCAAAGCTCCTGGCCCATCGCAGGATCCCAGCGTCAACTTCCTGAAGAATGTGGGGGAGAGTGTTGCAGCTGCCCTTAGCCCTTTGGGTAAGTGAGCGCCCCCGTCTGGCCATAGGGGCCCCTAACACACTGTTGATCCAGTTGAATTTTCACCTCACGAGAGGAGGTGATGACCTCATAGAGACTAGTAAGGACTTAATGGCCTCCAAGCAATCTGTGTCCAGTGTCTGAAAGACCACAGGTGGCTGGGGATTCAGGCCCACTGTGACGGCCTGAGGCTGCTGCTGCTGCTGCTGCTGCTCTAGCCCAGGCAATTTCTGCTCAATGCTTCCGCCTCATACCAGGCATTTTTTGTTTGTTTGTTTTTGTTTTCTTAATTCTTCGAAAGAGTTTCAGAGAGGGGGACACCAAGAGACACAGGTCTCCATTCACTGGTTCACTCCCTAAATGGCTGCAATGGTTAGGGTTGGGCCAGGCCAAGTCCAGGAGCCCAGAACTTTTTATGGGTCTCCCATGTGGGTGGCAGAGGTCCAAGCACTTGGGACATCTTCACTGCTTTCCCAGGTGTGTTAGCAGGGAGCTGGATTGGAATTGGAGCTACCAGATGTTGAACCAGCAGCTGGTGGGATGCTGGCTTTTTAGGCTCCAGTGCCAGCCCCCAGGCCTCAGCTTTGAAGCAGTAACTTTTTTGGAGTCATCTCAGACCACCTGTGGCTTTTCCCCTACTTTGTTGAGAAAAGGAGTTGATCTTTTTAATGTCTGCCTGGGAGCAGCTGTTGGGTGATAGGAGCGGAGGAAGGTGAGCTCTGCCTACCCGCCTGCCACTCAATTGAGCCAAGGAAAAAGTGTGAAAGACTGAAGTGGAAGGTTGACAGCTGTCCACTAATTGGTGACCCATCAGGGGCCATGGGCTCAGGGAGGTGCTGCACAGACAGCGTTTCTCAAGTCTGGAGGAGCATCACAATCAACAGCGGGCTTGGGGATATATATATTTGGTGCATGAAAACCTTATTAAAATTACTTTGAAGAACAAAATCCGTCAGTAAAGGAACAATAAGACATGAGAAATCACGAAGCGATGTTCCGCTCCAGATGGGCACTCTAGAAGCAGTCTGAATTCCCAGGCCCACCTTCCTGAATACCTAGTGAGAGACCTTGGGGCCTGGGGTCACTGATCTGGAGGTTTCCCAGATAACTTCGGGTCACCCCCAGCACCACAAGACCCATGTGTGCCAGCAGAGAACTACCCTGGGTTTCCTACTCAGGGTGGGGACCATTTTGGATGAGCCCAGAGGTCTGAAGAAAAGTAAAGCCAGAAATTCTTGGATCTTGGAGGTGTCTGGGTTGCCTCTGCCAAATGAGGGGGAACCTGGAACTGCGCACAAGGAGAAGTTCATTAGGACCCGATTTTGGGGTCTCAAACCAGCTTTAACCTGCTGTTGAAGGGAGGCGTTCTCTCTCTTTTTAAATGAGAACCGGTGAGTGCTTGAAGGGCACTATTCCAGGGCTGCCTCCCAGAGGGCAGAGTGTGGACTGGGAGCTGATGGTGCCCGCCCACAAACAGGGAGGATGCAGAGCAGGCAAGCACAGGACACACAGGCTGTCGGGTAAACACACAGAGGTTTTGGGGAAGCAAGCACAAGATATCAACAAGCCCTGATACCACAACCTCTGATCCTTTTTCTTTTTAAGATTGATCTCATTCACCCATTCCTGTTGCTTGAATGATTTCGCAATGAGAAGTTGGAAAGAAAAAGAGAACAGCTTGGATCCTAACGGCTGAGAGATGCCCTCCCAGCTTGTGTTCCACCTCCTGTTTTTTGCAGACCCACAGCTGGCATGGATGGGGAGCTTGTAGTGACCCTGTGGGGAGCAGCCTCTAGCTGTTGCTTTCCCAATAGGTGGTCCTTAGCATTTTTAGCAATAAAGTACTTCCTGAAATATGCTTTTTTATTTTCCCCCTTTAATTTGAGAGGCTGAGATGAAGTGAACTCTCCTTCACTGGTTCACTCCCTAGACTCCTTTACCAGCTAGAACTGGAAATCAATCCAGGTCTCCCATGTGGGTGGCAGCCTTCACTTCTGCCTCTTGGGGTGCCCATCTGCAGGAAGTCAGAGCTGGAGATGTTCCTGCCCAGCACTCTGTTAGGGGAGGATGTCTTAACCACTAGACCAAAGACCTGCCCAGTGAAGACATAAGACACACTACAGTATGGTACAAACCTGACCTGTATGTAAGGGGACTCATGATCTTAGCCATCCTGCAGCAGTCTGCCTAACCTACTGTAGTATCTCCACAGTACACCTGCACCTGCAGATAGGCCTGCTCTTGGCTCTTTGTCCTCAAACTCTTCCGCACAGAAAGGGCTTAACAGAGAAGCAGAGTGACAGGGCTCAGGACCTGACAGCCAGCTTCCCCAGCCAGCAAGGTGCTCCTCTTGCTTTTGGCGGAGAGCTCCCGATGCTCGCACCTTCCCTGATCCCACTGAGGACTTCCTCAGAACCTTTTCTGCACCATTGTCAGACCACCACGACAGAACACCTGATTAAGGACCGGCTCTACACATGGAAAGACTTACAGGGAGAGAATGCCAATATCCCGAGTGAGAGAAGTATTGTAGTAGTGACAAAGGATCAGAAAACATTGAAGCTAAAAATGAAGGTGCTGCCTGGAGTCTCAGCTGCTCCATTTCCCAATTCAGCTCCCTGCTGTTCACCTGAGGGGTGCAGTGCTGGATGGCCCAAGTGCTTGCGCCCCTGCATTCATGTGGAAGATCCAGAAGAAGCTCCTGGTTTCAAACTGGCCCAGCTCTGGCTGTTGCAGCCATTTGGAATGAACCAAAAGATAGAAGATCTCTGTCTCCTCTCTCTAACTCTATCAAATAAAAACAAATCTTTTTTAAAAATTAAAAACTGAAAGTAGGACAAAGGAAAAACCTCAAAAGGATTAGGTTCTAAGATCGTCCCAAAGAACTATGTGCCACTCCCTCCCCTGCCATAGATTTGGTTTGTTCTGATTCAAGTAATTAGATTGGAAATATTTGCAAAAAAAAAAGCTGTGAACATTCACAGACTAGTTCCGTAGTCAGTACTGCAGGATGGCTAAAGCCATCGTATTTCCATTGTAGTAGGGATGCTGGGCCTTCTGGAGGTGACTGGGAGCCCACGGAGGGAGCAGATGTTAGGCCCCAGGCCAGCCTGCTGGCCTCAGTAGCTGCCTGCCGCTGCTGGCTCCTGAAGCAGCTTCTTGCTAGGCCAGGCTCTGGGAAGTGGCAACAGCTTAAGGAACTGACTTCCTGTCGTGTGGGGAACCTAGATTGAGTTCTAGCACCCAGCCGTGTATGATGGTAGTACTCGTGCTGAGGGATGCCTTGAAATCCCCAGACACTAAGATGACTTGCCAAAAGTAGAAATAATAGGGATAAGAGAGAAAAGAGGGGAAATAAAAGGGTAATCCTGGAAGCCCCTAGATGAAGGAAGGAGTTGGCCTCTAGATGGGAAGAGGCTCCTTCCTGTCTGTGGTGGACAAAGACTGAGCGAGGCCTCGCTCATCTGGTATCAGGTGTCCTCTGGGAGGGGAAATGCAGGCTGCTGGGAGCTGGAAGGCATAGCAACAACCAGTGCTTCGAGTTGCAGGGAAAATGGGTTTCTACTTTAGCCTGGCCAAAATGATCAAGTATGAGGGCAAAGCAAGATCTCTTTCTAGTATACAAGGTTTTCATAAATTAGACCTTGAATGGAACAAAATGACTTAAATCAGAATGAAGAACAAAAACATTAAAAACGGGGGACCTAATAGGAAGGAGAGGTGGTCACAGGCTGTGAGCCCTGCCCCTGGCCACAGCAGTAGCCAGGCCTGGAGCTTGGCACACTCTGAGGGGCTATCTGATGGGCCACTCCCAGAAAGCTGGAGATGCAGTTGAACATGGGGAAGACACACTGTACAAACTCAAGTGTTGCCCAGCTTTTTTCACTGGATGTGACTGGTCAGAAGTGTGGGGAGGGAGGCGGTAAATGATCTAGTGAGAAATGAGCAGGTACACTTAATCAGGCAAAGCAGCTGAGCAGAGGGCTGCTTGGGCCCTGGGGAGTGGGCAGGGAGTGTGAGACAGCTGTCTGCCTGCAGCCCCCAGCATGCTGAGGTCCTTCTGGAAGACTTCATAGCCCTCTGTTCCCTGTGCTCTCTAGGTATTGAAGTTGATATTGATGTTGAACATGGAGGGAAAAGAAGCCGCCTGACACCTGCCTCTCCAGAAAGTTCCAGCACAGAAAAGTGTAGCTCTCAGCCGAGCAGCTGCTCCTCTGAACCCAGCAAGGAGGATGGGAACAATGAGGGCACAGCACAGTGTCTGGCAGAGAAGATGAAGAAGATAGCCCTGGAGCCTGGGTCCCAGCCCGAGGTGAGCCTGTTCCCTCCTGGCTGCACTCAATCTGAGGGGCCTCACTGCTGTAGTGGTCTTGTGCCTGTGGCACTTCTGCCACGCTGCCCTTCTGCTACAACTTCAGGCTTGGTCTTTGTGAGTGGCTAACCGCTGCCAGCAGCTCCTGGCCTCCCACACCCTGATGCTTTGCTGGGATGGACATGTGGCTGTGGCCAGCCCCGAGTCCTCATGGTGGGTTGTATTCAGGAGCAGATGGAGTCTGATAACTGTTCGGGAGGAGATGACGACTGGACTCACTTGTCTTCAAAAGAAGTGGACCCGTCAACAGGTGAACTGCAGTCCCTGCAAATGCCCGCATCGGAGGGGCCAAGCTCTCTGGACCCTTCCCAGGAAGGACCCACGGGGCTGAAGGAAGCTGCCTTGTACCCCCATCTGCCACCAGGCAAGTCAGCTCCAGAGGCGGGGGTGTGTGTCCTCTGTGTGGCATCGGCACGCTCGTCCACTGACGTGAGAAAAGACGTAGGAGTTGGGTTTGTCCTATTTAGTGCATGCTGAGCCAACCTAATTTAGCAGTTCCTTCATGCTCAAGGATCAAGGCAGTGGAGCTGGGGCTGGAAGAGACAGCCCTGCATTAGCTGTGTCCCCCCAACCATCTTCACTGTGACTTCAGTGTGCTGACCCTTGAACCAGCATGGAGCCAGCCTGGGAAGTAGAGGGGTAGAGAGCAGTGGGGTGGCTGGCACTGGTGGCCGTGGGTAGAAGAGGCAGCTAGTAGAGTTGAGATTTATTATTGCCATATGGGAACAATGTTTAAAATGTTTAAGTGGCTTTAAAAAAATTATATACTTCTTTGAATAGCAGAGTTAGATCTCCATCCACTGGTTCACTCTCCAGATGACCACAGTACTTGGGACTGAGCCAGACCAAGGCCTGAGCTCAAGCTCAATTCAGCTCTCCTACATGAATACAGAGGCTGAAGCAGCTGGGCCCTCCTCTGTTGCTTTCTCAGATGCATTAGCAGGGAACATGATCAGAAGTGGAGCAGCCAAGACTGAAACCAGAGTTGTAGATGGTGACTTACCCTGCTATGCCACAATGCCAGCAACCCCTAAGTGACTGTTTATCTGTGGGCTTAAGTCTTTATATTTTTACTAGGGGTCATAAATGGTGGTCAGTGATTTCTACATTTTAAAGTGGTTGGGAATAAACTTCCAACAGCATGTGATAAGAGCCATATTCTCGTGTCTTAGGCAGTCACTGCCTGTGATGCTGCTGACTCAAATGTTTGCTGGTTCCTGTCTCAGTTGCTCCACTTTAATCCAGCTCCCTTATAATGACTTAGGAGAAAGATGGTCCAAAAACATCTCATGTGGGAGTCCCTGCACCCCCACGTGAGACACGGAAGAAGCTCCCAGTTTAGCCTAGCCCAGCTTTGGCCAATGAATCAGATGGGAGATCTCCCCTCTCTTAACTCCTTCAAGACAAATCTTTAAAAAGAAAAAAAAAGTGATAGGGGAAATTCACATTTCACTGTCCATAAAATTTATTGGAACACGACTGTGCTAATTTGCTTCCTTGTTCCTGGCCTTTAAGGAGCAGTGAGCCTGTAGGGTCTGCCAGGTCAGCCTGGGATGCTCTCTGCATCTTCATGGGGCAGCTTTCTGAGGACCCCTGCAGGTTAGGGGTGTCTGGAACTGTTGGCACTGGGTACTTGCTGGGTAAACGCCAAGGTGTTGCTGGGTCTTGAGTCATCCCCACCCATGGGCCTGTTTACATTCTCTCATGTCTCCTGTTACTGTTTTTGGCAGAGGCTGACCCCCGGCTGATCGAGTCCTTGTCTCAGATGCTGTCCATGGGCTTCTCTGATGAAGGTGGTTGGCTCACCAGGCTCCTGCAGACCAAGAACTACGACATCGGGGCTGCCCTGGACACCATCCAGTATTCGAAGCACCCGCCACCACTGTGACAATGTCTGCTGCCCGGCTCGCTTCAAATCTCCTTCTCTGTCACATAATCACATTGAGCTAGTCAGAATAGCAGGAGCTCCATAAGGGCTAGATTTTCTGCATTCTTCTCCAGAATCTGGGGGGCGGGCACGCATGAGGCCTCTTAGGGCAGCAGCACAGTGTCACTGGTGAGTTCCATGCGTATATGCTTGATGCCAAACAGCCATCTACTCTGAGAGCTGTTGTGGCCCAGGAAGGACTTGCTGTTGCCCAGCAGGGTGCAGGTGATACACAGCAGCGCACTGGGCTCCCCTGCCAGCCTCATGCCAGCAGTCCAGAATACACCCTGCCTAATGGCCTCTGCTTTCTCATTTCTAAACAGCTAGTTGATTTACTGCTAGAAACCTGCTAGATTGAGGGAGGGCTGTCCTACAGCGAGCCAGAAGGTCTCACACTTGGAGGGAGAGCGGCTCCCAAGGGCAAGTGCGAGGTGCAAGTGTCCTCTGGCGGCTGCCTCCAGCTCATCACTACGATGCCTCTCATGTGTAGCGCCCCTGCTGTTATATTTGTAAGCAATCTGTGATTAAATGCAATGAGCACTTTAGTCATCACTGTCCTCCTGTGTTTATTGTCAGCTTTCGGGGTTTTTCACACATTAACACCAGGGGGAGCTGCAGAGGCACTCCTGCACCACCCTCATCTGCATCAGTGACAAGCTGGCCTCTGCTCACAGGTCATCACTGAAGTCCTCTCCTGTTGTAAAGAGGTCAGAGAGCCGCAGGGCTGCAGGCTTCTGTGTCCCTGGCACCTGGGGAGGCCCCATGTCCCTCCGCTGCTCAGGGATCCTCCTGCAGGGTCCCTCAGAACCAGGCCTGGGAGGCTGTGTGACCTGAGGAAGCTGGACAGTGGCTGCTTCCCAGCTCTCCTTCGGGGTTGGGGCCCATGGGGTTCCTTGCTCAGCCTGTGCTGGACCTGCTAGTCTGGGTCCCCTCTGCTCTGTGTCCACCTGGGAGCTGTTCACAGGAGATGGAAGAAATCTTGCCCATTTAGAAGATGTGGCCTCAGCCTGACAGGCTGGATTCGGCAGTTCCCCATGAGCAACACGGAGCCCCTGGGGTCGTGGGTCCTCATGGTTCCAGAGGCAGTGACTGCCACCTTCCTTCACCTTCACGTTCAGGCCAGGAGAGTCCTGAAACCAATCAGAGGAGACAGCTGTGTCCTGTTGCCTGCTGGGGCTCGTTTCCCAGATGAGACTTTTCCATGGTGCTGCTTGCCAGTCCACAGGCTGGGCAGTGAAGTCGGCAAAGCACAGTGAGTAAATGCCATTTCATCCCAGTCCTCTGTTTCCATGACCAGGCTCCAGGTGGCCCAGCTCCTGAGGGTCAGCTCAGGGTGTCTGCACAGAGGTGGGAGTAGACAGGCCCTAGAGACCACTGGGGAATGGACTGAGGCCGACCCCCCTCACCTGCTCCCTCCCTGGCAAACAGCACCTCAGACCTGGACTTTGCAAGTGGCTGTGCCAAGCTCTCTGTGCTGCTGGGGACCGGCTTCTGCTTAGCAACCAAAGATGTCCTGACAGTTAGGCTTACCACTTCACAGGACCTCAGAGTGGGTCGCTGTAACTCTGCACCCCAGACAATGAGAAAGAGGGCAAGACACAACAGACTTGACAAGAACATCACACACAGGAACTGCAAGGCTCTGCTGTCACCGGGAGATTCAGAGCCACGAGCTGACTTAGGTCTCAAAGCTACTCCTGACAACAGCAGAATCTGAACTTGGCCTCCTGGCTTCAAGCTGGAGGCCTGCATGAGCTGAAGTTGGCCGTGGCAGATCTATGCTAAGGTGGCCCCTGTCAGCAGGCCTCTGGTGGGGCTCTTTACACGCTGATGACAGCATAAAGCAAGATCTGAGTTTTGCAGCACTAAATGTGCAGTGGGGCCTGTTGGGTTCCTGGGAGCAGGAACACACCCCAAGTGACTGAATGCCTTCAGCAAGGGAGCATGAGCCTGGAGAGGGCAAGGGTGGCAGGGTGTGCAGAGAGGCCAGGCCAACCTCAGTGGACCCCAGGGTGTCATGATGCCCTTTTGGCTGAGAGTTAATTTCATGAGATGAGCAGGGAGCGAAGGGAGCAGGCAGAGGAAGGAGTTGGCTCCACACAGGCAAGAACAGGAAGCTGAGCTTTGGGGGGTAAAAAGCTCATACTTCAACAGCTTGTGTGCTTGGTGATCACTGGGACCAAAGTGGAAGCAATATTCCCTATCACCAACCTTCTGGGGTGGCCAGGTGCCCCTGGGAGTGCCCAAGTCTGGGATGTCACAGTTGTGCGACAGCTGGGCCAGGCTCGGGCTCCATTTCCTGGTGGGAGGAAAGTGCTGTCAATAGTCCAGTCCTGCCAGCACAGTGCCCCACAGCCTCCCTGGCAACCTGGCTGGCCACAGGAGGTAGGGAGTCTCCATGCAGCCACTCAGCTGCAGCCCAATGGCAGATGGGCTGTCCTGTGCTTGCCAGGCAGTTCTGCCTCATGGCTGGTCCACCTACCTCCCATGGCGCCTCAGGCGCTGTCTGCAGAGCTGAGCTCCTGTGCAGTCTGCAGTATCTGCTTCGCCAGTGTAAACCTCCTGCCCCGGTCAACACCCCTAAGCCCCTACCCCTTGAGGTCACCGTCTGAGCTGCTCACAGAGTTCAGCCAGCATCCCTGTGTCAGCAAGCAGCGCCTGTCTCATCAGTCCCCACCTGAGCCTCCTGGAGGGCACTGGGTACAGCCTGGCACCTTTTTCTGGGCAGCTCCTGACTGAAGGGAGGGTCTGACTCCTCCATGTCGGATGAGGACTGCCCATGGAAACACACTCCTCCTCCCAGCTCCAGTTCCGGGGAGTCCTTGTGCAGAAACTTCAGCCAGCGGCTCTCAGAGGGCTGTGTTGGGAAGAACAGGAAAGCAAGCCTTTTGACTGCAGCTCTCACACCCAGGGCTCAGGGATGGTGCCTGCTGGTGAGGCCTTGGAGAGGCAGCAGAACCCCCGAATGTCCATGCTCCCTGACCCAGTGACCCCACACAGACAACAAAGGCACAGAGATACTCGTGGTGCTGTAGACGCCATGGTTTAGAAAGTGTGGAGACAGCCTCAGACCCTCAAAAAAGGGATCAGTGCCAGCAGCCAGCTTTCCACCATATTCCCGGTTTTAAAAAATGAAAATACCTGGAAACTGCAACAACACAGAAACCTTTTGTTAGTGAAAACTTAAGCAAACACGTCTTTTCTTGACACAAAAATGATGTAACACTAAGCGTTTGCGTGGCTGACCCGGAAGCTCAGGTGCTGAGAGCTGCACTGGAGGTGGGCCTAGGAGTGTCTACTGATTTCCCACAAAGCCGACCAAGTGGCATGTGAAAGTCAGACAGGCCCGACAGGTAGCTGGAAAGAGCAGAGGAGGAGTCTCCCTAGAAGTATGCAGGATGCCTGAGTTAGCAAGACCAAAGTGCCACCTTATCCTTCGGAGTTCCTGCTTTTATCACGACAAAAGAAAGAAGTTACCAATCCTATCCTATCCTTCCTCTGGGCTTTTCACCAGAGACAAGCTAGACAGGGTTGTGATCCTGGCCCAATGAAGGACTCTGTGCCTTCCTCTCATTGATTATTAGCTGTCATAATGAACATCTGAATTATGCTGAAAAGACACCACCCCCACCGTTCTCTCGGGTTTTCCTCTCTGAGAGCCCCACTCAATCCTGCGGCAGGTTTGTCTTGAATAAATCTCACTTTGCTTCTTGATTTGTCTGTGGGGAAATCCTTCTTTCCTGTGAGGTAAGACCTGAGGTAGCCTCCGTCCTTCGTGCCCTTTCCCCAGAACAGTGATGAAATGGGAGAGGAATGTAGGGAGCTGGCATAGCAGTCAGGAGCTGGAAGCCACACCTCCCCATGCTATGTAATCCTATCTGTAGGTCAGAGGACCCCTTCCCAGGGGATACTTCCTCACACCTGTTGGGGGGCGGGGGTCACATAACCACTCCCTTTTGGAACCCTGTAAGAGCCCTGACAAGGAGGGGCTCTCCCACTCAAGGATGCTCTCACTCTCACTCTTCCTGCAGATGCAGAGGAGAAAGCACCCCTCTTCCACCTCCCCGTTTTTGGGCCACTCTGCTCCTCAACATGCCCACATGGGTGTGATTTCCTTACCTTTTATAGAAACTTCATCACTTCAGAAGATGTACTGGATGGTCTCTAAGAACCTGGAATAGGTATTTGAGACCACCTAGCCCAGGACGGCAGGAGGGTGGCCAGAGTGGTCCTGTGAGCAGAAGGTGGGAGTTCTCCTGCAAGGACCTGCTAATCTGGGTGGACCGATGACCACAAGAACTAAAGTGCTCTCTCACACACCGCCTGCCCACAGCACTGTGTGACTCATGCTCTCCAGGGGAGTGACCAGGGACCTGACCCTCGGCCTCCTATCCCTGAAAGGAACCTGGAGGGCGGGGGCAGAGGGGGCAGGAGCTGGAGGACAGGTTCTGTTCCGGAGGAGCCATTACACAGCACAAAGGAAGAAGCCCTCTTCGTGTAGCAACGATGTGTGGATATGTGGACAGGTTATAGGTTCTTGTATTCCTGCACTTATGAACACTTGTCATCAGTATTGTTGACTGTATGGCTAATGAATACTGGTAAACTAAAGTTACAAGAAGCCCTGGTTCGGGGGAAGCTCCTGCATTGCAGCCCAGCAGGACATGGCACAAGCAAAAACCCACGTCCCTAGAAACTCGGTTGTCACTGACCTGAGAAAGGGGGGAAGAGAACAGCCTGCTTTCATCAACAGGCCAGTGCAGTCTGAAAGAGGAAATTCCCCCTGCTTCAACCTTTTACCCTGATGCCAACCCATCAGTGGGCCATTACTCTGTCTCCCGGGGTGCATCTTATAAGACAAGCAATTCTGAAGTGACTTATCTGCTCCTTCTGTCTACAAAACCAACCCCTTCTGCTCTGCTGGTTGCAGCATTCATTGAAGTGCTGCTCAATTCTAGAACTGCAATGAGTGCTTCAAATGAAATTTGTGTGATTCTGTCTTTTCGGTAACACATAAACAGAATCCGTTCCATTAGGTTTAGCACAGATGCAGCTGGCTTACCTGAGGATCCACATTCTCTGCCTGATGGTGATCTTCAAGTTCTTCTTCTCTGACACTTCCAGAACCCTCCAGAGACCTTAGGGGAAGAACATCCAAACCCCCTTAGTAAAATGAGCCCAAAGAGGAAGGACAAATAAGATGAAAATGGCAGGATGCAAGGACTGAGCAGACCCCAGGCTGGTCTTGGGGCATCTCAGGGACTCAGCTCTGAGGTCTCATGTGGTTCTGGTGTCCTGCAGCAGCCGAGGATCTGGGAGAGGGGCCACTTATTTCCTCTGATTAGGATGGTCAGGCCCTCCACCAACAGGAGGACTGGGCAGAGAGCCATGCACTCTGCTTAGGCTGGAACTGGCATCTTGGCTTTGACCATGACAAGCTCTGTGCTTCATCATGGTTCGACATCCTTGTTCCATTTTCCTCATCCCACTAATGTGGGTAATATTGTGCCCAGGACTGCAAAGACCAATGAAACAATGAATGTCC